CGTGTCCCTTGGGTTTCGCCCGGGCGCTGTCGTCCGCGCTGTGCTCGTCAGCCCCGTGGTGGGATTGCTGCATAGAAGGAGATTCTTAAAATTGTCTTTCCCTCGAGTCTGGGAGCGTAGGAGGAAGGTGAGCTGGCGGAGGCTGGTGCCGTAGGATCGCTCCTGTGCTGTCCCTGGGGTGGGAGTGCAGAGCTCTTTTGCAATGCTGGCGGTGTTTTGTTGCAGTATTGGTCCAGCTGACTCTCATAACACCTTGCAGCTTTCCTTTTAAAATCCAAGCAGCTGCAAGAACTGGCCTAGCTACGTTTCAAGCCCATGTAGATGTTGGTACTGTGGAAGTGGCAACTTTTAGGTTGGTTTTTGACTGTAGGAGATGAGGGGCTTGGGCGTCCCATGCTGCTTGATGCCGTGCGCTCAGCCTGCTGCTCCCGAGACGAATCGTTCGATCCACGGCCGGGTCGCGGCTGCTGGCGGAGCTGGGAGCCCCGCGCAGGGCTGCTGGCCTTGTGCTCCAGCCCAGGTCGGTCACGCTCTGCACACCTGAAATTGTGCTGCAGTGAAACAGTTAAACCATCTGGCACTGGGAGCTCAGTAAAAGCAAATTAATTCCACACTGGTGCAAGATGACTTGTAAAACGACCCTAACAGAACATAACGTGGCTGTTCAAACCGGTATTTGTCAAATTGTCGTAATGCAGGGTTTCTTTTTCGATCGCAGGAACAGCCTGTTAGCCATAGCTGTGGCCGCACAGTCCTGTATGTTGTCAGAACCGATGGTCCAGGACGGAAATCCCATTTCCATGGGGCAATCCTGGCGTCGGTTCGCTCTTCCAGCTGCAGGCGAGGTGCTGCCTGCGCTCGGGGCTTGGCCGCGCTGGCTGAGCAGCGGGTGCTGGTGTGCGGGCAACGGATCCTGGGGTCGGTGGATGCTTTGGCTTCTGTTTGGGTTCATCGAAGCAAACAGGCGTGGTAAATTAATAAATTACGGGCAGCGCTGCTTTCCTAATGTGTTTTCCCAGACCAGGGTCTGAGCATCAAGAAGCTGCGGGACAGGCAGAGGAAGGCAGTGATTTGGGGAGACTCTGAGGCCGACCCTGCGCCCGGCCGGAGGAGCGCGAGGGTTTTGCGAGGACTGGGGGGGTCGGGGGGCCGGGCACGCAGAAA